ATGTTGCAGACAGTTCAGACAAAGAGATGCACGTGGCTCTGGGTCTTTAACATGAAAAAAGACACTGAATCGCACTGATAAGAGAAAAGCAAATTTCAAACTATACAATAACAGAAACTACGATTAAATTCCATGTGGTTACTATAAGAATAAGAAACATAGTAACATCCCTAGAGACAAAAAAGCACAAAATGAACATATCTTTTTAAAACTGAAGTATAGCTGATTAACAATATTAGTTTCAAGGGTACAGTGTAGTGACTCAGCATTTTTTTTTAATTCATTTTATTTATTTTTGGTTGTGCTGGGTCTTTGCTACTGCACGGGCTTTCTCAAATTGCGGGGAGCAGGGACTACCCTGGCTGTGGTGTGCGAGCTTCTCTCGGCAGTGACCTCTCCGCTGCAGAGCACGGGCTCGAGGGCGCCAGGGCTTCAGGAGCCGTGGCTCCCGGGCTCTAGAGCACAGGCTGGCGCTTGGGCCCAGTTGCTCCAGGGCATGTTGGATTTTCCCACATGAGGGATTGAACTCGGGTCTCCTGCACTGGCAGGAAGATTCTTTACCACCGAGCTACCAGGGAAGCCCTCAGCACTTTTTATAGCAAATGAACAAATCTTGTCCAAAGACTCAAAGCTTGCATCACCTTTCAGTCCTCCATGCTTAAACATGAATCAAACAACTAAGAATTACTGAAAATACCAGAGAATGTGTCTAACATGATAATGCCCAAAACAAACAACTAGGGTGAATAAAAAACAAAGGAAAACAGATTGTTTCCTCATTTATCAGGCTAGCATTATTTGATACCAAAATCAGACAAGGAAATTACCAGAAAACTCCGGACCAACATCACTTACAAACAAACACAAAGCTTCTCAACAAAATTTTAGCAAACCAAATCCAGTCATGTGGAAGAAGAACACATCCAGTAAGTTTCATGGGGGTGGGGTGGGGTGGGATGAATTTAAATCAACCACATTAACAGACAGCAACAGATGGAGGAAAAGCATTTGACAACATTCACCTCTCAGCAAATAAAGAATAGAGGGAATTCTTTAATTCCATAAGGCCTGAGGGGCAGTATACGCAGACCGCCAGGATTCAAATCCCAGCCCATCCACTATCTAGCTGAGTAACTTTGGGTGACTCAGTCTCTTCATTTGTAAAATATTAAAAAAAAAAAAAAATCTGCATAATTACACAGCCCTGGTAATGTGACTAAGTAATGAGTTCAGTTCAGTTGCTCAGTTGTGTCTGACTCTGTGACCCCATGAACCGCAGCAGGCAACCATGTGAAGTGCTTAAGACATCTATGAAGAACCTGTAGCTACTGAATGGTAAAACACTCATGCTTTCTCCTTACAACTGGGAACAAGGCCAGAATGTCCACACTCACCACTCCTATTCAATACACACTAGAACTGTACCAAGTACAATAGGCTAGCAAGAGAAATAAAAGCTATGCTTACTGAAGAGGAAATAAAAACTTTCTATACACAGATAATACTATTTTCAGGGGCAGGGAAGGGTAAGAGTGGCCTTGGAACTGTTAAATTCACTCGTGATTACATAACTATAAACATTTGTCAAAAAAATCACAGAACACTCTAAGAGTGAATTTTCCTGTACATAAGTTAAAAGTAGAAACATTTAGAACATTATTATCATTATTATTTGATAGATAAGTAGATGTATTTAGAGATACACATTCCATACACAGAATGCCGACCGTCTCCAAAGGCCAAAGTGGCCCCAGGGGATGGAGGCACCTTGGCAAGTGAGGGAGAGACACGACACAGAGCGCGGGCCGTCTCAGAAGGTGAGACGCCTAAAGCGTAATCACTGTCCACAAAGCATGAGATGCTCCACTCATGAAACAGAACATGATGCTATTTAAAAGTTTTCAAAAAATTTTTTTTCAAAATTAAAAATATCTTGATGCCCAACCCCAGTTACGAGGACAGCAAGAAAACAAAGCACACACTCCCCAGTGGCTTCTGGAAGCTTCTGGTCTACAGGGTCAAACAGCTGAAGGGTTGCTGACGTGCGACCAATCATACTGTGCTCTGACTGCTCCCAACACCTCCTCTAGAAACCTCAAAGTCACTGTGGAAAGAGCAGTCCACCTGGCCATCCCCAGTCAACAATCCCAATGCCAGGCTGCACAGAGAAGATGACGGACAGCTTGTGGAAAGAGAAAAAACTCAACAGAAGCACCTGTCCATAAGGTGTAGCAAGAGTCAATACATAAATGATGATGATTCCAAAAAAAAAATAAAATGAAGAAAATTGTCCCCCCTAAATTTCTGTTTGTTTCTTGGTTTTTTTTTCTTGGCTTTTTTTCCCCCCTAAATTTTAAGTTACAGGAGGATAGGAAACCACTGGGAAGTATCAGGAACAGAGACAAGATTCTATCAGTGACTAGAGACAAATTTTATGTAAATGAGTAAAAACTAGCAACAAGATTTCTTTAATAAAAGCACTGGAAACTTAGAAAATAATGGAGAAATACCTTCAAAATTCAGATTAAAAATTACAGAATACATGTAAAGTAATTAGCCTCCAACTAATAAAAATAAGTGGAAAAAAAATTATAGAATACAGAAATTCCATACCAAACTATTAATCAAGCTTGAGGGTCACCTGGTTATTTTTAGATAGTCATGGTCTCAAAAAAAAAAGTTTCTAACGTGCATCTTTCTTCAAGAAGTTATTTGAGGATTTATTCTTATTTTGGTGGACCACACCAAGAAAGAAGACATCATGGGACCCAAGAAAACAGGGAATCTAAGAGAAAAGGGACATAAACGAAACATCCAAAGTAGTGGTCACAATGGAAGATTTTAGGTTTCAAAACGATAAAACCAAGACACATTGGATGGAGCAGGTGAGAAGACAAAGACGGACTTCAAAATAGCGAATGATTATCTAATAAGTCTAAATATGTTGGGAGGTGATTTAAACAATTGTGAGCGTTTAGGATCAAATCAGTAGTAAGCACATAGATGACTAAACAACAACAAAATGGCAATTAACAACTCCAGAGAAAACTAGTGCGGGAAAAGCAGTAACTGCATATACCAGATGGTTCAGTCACATGAGGTTCACAAAGTCATTACAAAAAAAAAGAAACACTTAATAATAGTCTAACCCAAATTGACATAGGAACATTGGCAGGCTGGGGAAGTGGGAACAGTCTGAAGGAGAAAAAGCGTGTGTTGGCAGAGAGGCGAAAGACTCAAGGAGATGTTAAAAGACCACCTAACATGAATGGGTTAAGTAAACAGACAATGGAAATATCAAATTTTAAAAGAAGAAAGCAGTTTCTTCAGGGGAGGATGGACAGGGAGGAGGAGTGATGTAAATGGTTCAGTTGCAAAATAATTCTTTTAGAAATATTTGACTATTTTTAGCAGGCTCATGGTTAACTTTGATTAAAATGAAAACTAATTTTCAAATAATCATGCAGATATTTAAAGAGCTTCCCAGATGGTACTAATGGTAAGGAAACTGCATGCCAACGCAAGAGACTCAGGAGACCGGGGTTCCATCCCTGGGTTGGGAAGATCCCCTGGAGGAGAGCATGGCAACCTTCTCAAGTATTCTGGCCTGGAGAATCCCATGGACAGAGGAGCCTGACGGGCCCCCAGTCCATAGGGTCACAAAGAGCGGGACGCAGCACACACAATGCAGGCAGACAAGAATCTAACGCAGGAAAAAGAAAAAAAAAGAGAATCTAACACAGGAAAGGAGCGGGGAAACTATGGCAAGTCTTAGTTGATAATGGTAGCTCAGTAAGAGCCATACTGGTGACGGAGTGATCAGAAATTCATCTGCACTGTAGCCTCAAACTGAATGTAATGATCGGCTCGACCAAAAGAATGTGAATGAACAAGGACAACTCTCCAGGCTTTTAAAAAATTTTTTATCTTGTCTGACCCAGTGCAACTGTGCCAGCAGATACTTCTAATGAGATGCGGGAGTCTGGGGAACGGGCAGGATGGCAGAAGGGGTAGGTATGGGTAACATTTTGGTCTGGATCTGTTTTAGAAGCCTATACACGTTGCCGAGCAGGCCCGTTAGGGACTCCTGGGCACAGAGGCCTTTTTGTCCCCTATTTCTTACAGACAAGACTCCAGTCTCCGTGACCTTCTCTCATTTCCAAACAGCAGAACACTTGCTATTCAAAGCAGGAATAGCAAAGAAACCACTTGAGGCAAGATTAAAGGACCAGAGAAGCTCACCACCGACAAACTGCACCACACCCTAATCTCGGCAGCAACCTTTTTGAAACTTTGCAGAAGAATACTAGACGGTTACTGCCTTGATCCTTTCTCACCAACTCCTGCCTGACTACACGACCTTTCCGTACTCACCAGGGAGAGGGGCGCAGTTCTTGACGCGCTGGCCTACCGTGTTGCCCTAACCCTCTGCCTGGCAAAAGTAACAAAGCCACTCTTTCCTTTTCCTCCAAAACTCGTCTGCCTATTTCTGTTCGCATGGTGCACAGAGCGCCAAGATTTCGGCAACACAGAAAAACAATAAAACAAAGGTCTATGGAGGGCTGAGTATAGAGACTGCAAAGAAGCAAAAGGGCATCATTATGTGAACTTTGAACCACCACATCTCTTTGGAGAACAGAAAATGACGTATCGGGGTCGTGATGCTAGCAATTCCCTGGGCACGGAAGGTCTGCGTAAGATGGCCTTTCAGAAGCGTTCAGGGTTGCTGAGGGTACGCGAACCCAACCGCCGCTAGCGGTCGAGCTCACCTGCGGATTCCCGCCCTCTGAGAGGGGGGCGTTGGCCGAACACGGCCCAGAGAAGCAGCAGCGGGAAAGGTCCCGGTACTCTAACTGGGGCCACCCAGCCGCCCGGTGCGGGCTCAGGGCCGCTTGAGAACCACGCCACCCTCCCACCAGGCCCACAGACGCCTGGCAAAGCGAGCCTCAAGCGAGGCGGGGGCGGGGCACGTCGCCTCTCGCCTCAGGAGGAGGGCTCACCCGACAGCGCAGAGTCCTCGTCCTCCTTCGAGACGGAGAAATCCTCGGACTTAAACTCCTCCATATTGCTGCCGCGCGGGGCCTACGGTGCCGCAGCAACCGCCTCCAACGGCAAAGCTCTAGGGAGACGGTAAAAACGCGGAGTGCGCGGAGGCGACGGGGATGGCGGCGGCTCCAGCGGAGCGTGCGCACACGCAGAAACGGCGCTAGGTCAAGAAGCACCACTTCCGGGCCAAAGCCGCGGACCTGACGCTTATATGGAGGTCGGCGGAACGCGGGCTTCGTCCTGAAGTGGTGTATGCTGGGACTTGTAGTCTTCAGAGCTCAGCGGCTTTGATTTTAGTGTATCTGCTTAAGGGAAATTTGTTTTGCCTATGGGAACACAGCTGCCCTTCGTTAGTCACTGGTTGGTATTATTGAATTCGCTTACTTGTGAAAATAGCCACCCCCCCCAAAATCAATATTCACGGTGCTTTCTGGGGTTATTTCCCCCGACATGCTCAGAGAGTGAAAATTTTAAGTTAACCAGTGGTGGGTTGTACTGAGGTTGCAGGCAGACAATTTGCTATCTTGCTTAAGCCCTCTTAGTGTAAATAAATGTCGTCTTCCCAGTCTCTTTAGTGCCGCGTTTTCTTTTGTTTTCATCTTTGTGCTGTCTGTCGGTGATTTCGCTGTTTAAAATGACCCCTGGGTGTGTTGCAGGGAGGAAGCCAATTCTGACTCCATGTTGGAAACTGTTTCTTTGACTTTAATGTCCGTCACTCCAAATCTTTGTTGTGACGAGACAAAAACCGAGGAGTATACACTCGCCTGACAATACTCAGTGGCTTGCCTGGAGGACCCTGCCTCTCACTTGACTGCAAACTAACGTGTCTTTGTTCGACTCTCCGAGAGGTAGTTTGTCCCTGCCCACCTGTGAATAGAAGAGATTAACACACCCCTTCTGAAGGCTGTACGTTCCCTCGGAGATGTTTTACAAGACGGAAAACCCTTCACTTTACTTCCCCACTGCATCTCCCTCTCTTTTCTGCCTTGTGACTTTAGTTGCTCATTGCTTCTTTCTCTCTGATATATAAAAGAACCTGGCAAGATCCCAGTAAGATGGTTATTTTGATGCACTAGGCTGCCATCTTATCCGTCAGCGGGCCTTGCCTCAACACTTCGTCTCCCTGTCTCATTGACCTATCCTGCGGCGAGGAGAGCAAGCTTGTACTCGGCAACAAGCGAATTGCTGGGGTGCTTCTTAATGTTTTTAAGTGCAAGAAGGTTGTGATATGCCTTATGGAGAAAATGCTTGGGTTAAATAAAGCCTCATTCAGGTATGTTTTATAGTGCAATTGGCTGTGAGTTCAGTGTTAATGAATAAACTATCCAGTACATCAAGGAAAAAGAAAGTCACCAATCTGTATCTGATGCTGCTCTGTAAAGTGCTAAAATGACATTCATAGTGTGCGAGGCAGCTATGGAAAAGATGGAAAAATGGCTCAATTTGTGGATTCAACCAATAAAACCAATGAAAAAAGTCTGGTAGGCAGCACTATTGAGGCTGAAAGCCAAAAAAGTTTACCATCATGTTACCTGGAGTCAGAAAAATGTGAAGAAGCCCTTCTCTGCTAGCGCTGGCTGGGTTGCACGTTTCAAAAGGCCATATGGTGTCAATAATGTTAAGCTTGCAGCTGAGGCAAGTGCTGCAAATTAGGAGGCTGCGGAAGGATTCAAATGATGCTTGCTAAATATTATACAGGGAAAGGGGTATGTGAAAGAGCCAGTTTTAAACCTGGTGAAACTGGCTTATTTTATAAGAATGTTGGCAAAAGAACCTATGTAATGTGAATGGTCTCCAATGCCCCTGGCTTTAAATCATTCCAGGATTATACAACCCTACGTACGTGCACCAATGCCAAGGGTGACTCTAAGTGCAAACTCTTACTGGTGTACAGACCTTCAAGTTCACAAGCACTTAACGGGAAAAACGTGAATCATATCTGGTGCATTGGAGGTGGAACCAAAAAGGGTGGAAGGCATCTGATTGGTTCCACAGCTGAATCATATTAGAAGTTGAATACTATCCCCAGGGTAGAAACCTTGCCTTCAAGATTTTGTTAATTTTGGATGCACCAGTCCATTGCTGTGAAAAACTCAAAAATGCCCACCCCAACATGGAAGCTCTCTACATTCCCCCAAATACTACCTCTCATCCAGCCCCTGGATCAGGGCATAATGAAAGCCTTCAAGTCACAGTATACAAGTGAACTTTATACCAAGACTTTGGAGGCTTTCAAAGCCAACAAGGAAACTACCATGATGGACTATTGGAAATCAGTCACTGTACATGAGGTGATTGATTATGTTGGAAACATCAAGCAGGTGACCATCAATTACTGATGGAAAAATGTTTGACTGGACTGCATGGAGAATTTCGAAGGCTTTGAAGGTGCAGCAGAAAGTATAAATAACAGTGTCAGAAACATAATGCATACCACATGCAAATAGGTGGAGAAGGTTTTGGTGACATGAGGAAGATGTAGAGGAAATTTTGGCAGAGAAAGCAATAGAACCCACCAATGAAGACTTGGACAAGACGCCAAAGCAAGGCAGTGTTGATGAAAACGGTGATGAAAGTCAGCCAAAGAGTCCAGAAATTGTCCCGCTTTACAGCAGTCAAAATAACAGAATGGAACTCCGCTTTGGAAAAAAATTTCAGTGACATAGAAGAGTGTGACCCTATGCTTGATCGAAACCTCAAACATAAGCACTTAACTTCTTGTGCATTTGCCCCCTATGTTGAGACATTTAAGGCAAAAAGCTAAGCAGACAGGGCCAACGTAATTTCTGGAGTTATTTTGGGAGAAAAAATTGCCCACTCCATCAACAAGTGCTGAGAGCCAAACCTCTGAGGTTGAACTGACAGATGTCAACCTGCCACCCTCTTCCTCATCTGCAGAATGAGTGCCACCAACCTCTCCCTTGTTTTTGTGGGGTAAGCCAAGGTGGAGAGGCTTGACCACACGTGCACTGTGCCATTGTTCAGCCTGCAGCTCCATCAACCAGGAAGATGTTAGGTAACATTTTTACAAAATGTTAAACATTTAATCTTTATTTGCACTAATGTGCACTATATAGTATGTGTTTACCGTATGAGTACTGTATGTGTAGCTTGTGTTTTTGTGTGTGTGTGTGTGACTGAAGGGACGAGTTAAAATAATACAGCCTCAGTGTTGTACAGGACACAATAATGCTGTCATTGAAGTAACTGTTTCATTATTAATACTACGTATCATTATTTGTAAGATATATCAAACACAGTGTCTTTGAACAGAAACATACATAAAACAAACCTATGTACTGATCAGTTGACAAAAATGGTAGGACCAGAGACCCACAAGAACCCAATCCTGTATTTCTGCTAATTGAGTGTGCGTGGTAACATTATAGACGTAATTACAAGGAATGGCTGTATTCTAGAATTCAAACATCATCCACAAGGAATCCTTCATTCAAGTTAATCCATATGAAAGTACAACCATATATAATGCTTGTCATTTTGTGACAAACTGGGATGTACCTTTTGCCCTGTCCTTGGAGTCTCAGTCTGGGGAAAACACTACCCTGGCGTTCTTCAGTAGACTCTCCTCCAGCACCCCACTTCTCCCACTCATTTGTTCAGATTCAGTTTCTGACCACTGTAAGGGTAATGATGAAACTGTCTTCTCTTTGTCAAATTGTTTAGTAAAGAGGTCTAAAATTGGTTAGCAGCCCTCATCAAGCTTAAAAACATAATTTTTGGATTCATTTTCCATGAATTTAAATGTCATCAGCTGCGATATTATGATTTTGAAGAAATATACATTATCCCCAATGGCCAGTGATTTAATGCATCATGCCTATGTAATGAGGTCTCCACACAGCTGCAAAGGACAGGGTTGAGACCTTCCCAGTTCAACATGTGGAAATTCAGGGAGAACTTTGTCCCTTTGAAGGGGCACGAAAGTGCCACACACATACCCCATGTCTTGCCCTGTGCATCTCTTCCATCTGGCTGTTCCTGCTTTAAATCCTTATGATAAACCAGTGATCTAGTAAGTAGTCTGAGTTCTGTGAGTCACTCTAACAAAATTAATTGAACCCAACTTATAGTCAAATCAATCAGAAGCACAGATGTCTGGAGTTGGGGCTTGAGGATGGGGGGTTGGGGGTGGGTGGGGTGCTACTTCTAGGTAGTCATAATTGAGTTGAATTGTTGAACACCCTTTCTGGTGTCCAGTATGTTTGTTAGTGTGGGGAACACCCAATATACCACTTAAAAATTTAGCGATTTCAGCACATAATCCCACCAAGAATAGGCTGAAACTGAGCAATCCCTTTAGACAAATATTGGCCACAATACAAACCCCAACCCTCTACAAGTTTCCTGGTTCACTCTTATGATGTTGTTACCGAGTCCAAGCTCGCTCTGCTCACCGCAGGACAGGCCAGTGAATCCGAGAGAAGAGGTGTTGAGGCAAGGAAAATGACTTCATTTGGAAAGCTGGCTAAGATGGCAGACTAATGCCTCAGAGTAACCACCTTGTGGGGCTCTGAATGCAAAGTTCTGTTGAGTCAGAGAGAAATAAGCAATGAGGAACTAAAGTCAAGAGGCAGAATAAAGGAGAGGCAGTGGGGAACTAAAGTGAAAGGGTCCTCAGTCTTACAAAACATCTCTGAGAGAAGGGCCAGCCTTTGGAAGGGATGTGTTGATCTCTTCTGTTCACAGGTGGGCAGGGTCAGGTTATCTCTCCATTAGCAGAACAAAAGCACTTGAGCTTATAGTCAGGCCGAGAGGCCAGGTCCTCTGAGGAGGCTATTAAGTATGATTGTAATAACAAGAGAAAGCTATAAAGAAATGTAGAAGACTCTTGAGAGTCCCTTGGACTGCAAGATCCCACCAGTCCATCCTAAAGGAAATCAGTCCTGAATATTCATTGGAAGGACTGATGCTGAAGNGCACTTTATGTTATACCTAAATTTAAAAAAAGAGAGAGTGGATGGCTAGTCTCCTGCTACACTGTATGTCCATCTGCAATGCCTGGAACTCCAGTAGTTCCCTTAGGACCATGGGGTAAGCTACCCAAAGGGGACAATCCAGTGTGCTGAAAACGGCAGAGCAGAAAACGTCTTATGATGTCACAGAATACTGAACCAACCTTGG